TTAAGTGGTTCATAAAACGCGTAGGTATGGAGTGCACACTAATTTTACTCTCGGCTCCTCGTTCCTACATTGAATGAGAATCACGTACCTATACCAATAACGCCTTTTTATAATTGTATTATTTAAAGAGGTACATATTGCATTTAGCTGCGGTTGTTTTAGCATAACATAAAAATTGCGTATCGAAATGGTCACGGGGGAGCTATACTTTTTTTGGTATAACTTACTTGATAATTTCCATTTATAAATTACACAATAATATATGAATAGTGATATCGACGGAGGTGGTGTTAATAATATCTGTCAAAAAGAACAAAATTATTATACTATACAAGTTTGTATTAAAAATAGTTGTGGAAGAAAAATATTTTTATTTATGGAGTTGTAAGTTGTTTAATTTTAATATACGTTTAAATTAATATAAAATAAACCCGAAATTATTGCACTGTAGATATTATTCAAATCGTGAAATATCGGTAGGTTAATATTTTTTGTTTTTTTTGGATGACTTTTGACGCCTTCCGCAGGAATTAATATATATTTATTTCATTTATACCGCATGTAATAGTAAATCCACTTGGTTAAGTTATTGAACAAAAAAAAAAAAATGAGTCGTAGTGATATATTTATATATTTTTCCAAGAAATGAAATTACTCGTATATAATAACGTCGTATACATTTAACGTTATCGGAAATAGAATTTAAAATAAGTAAAAACACATTGATATGCTTTCCGAAATTTAAATCTTAAGCCGAGTCGTTTACAAATATGAAATATATTATTATTATCCCAGCAGATGCTGATTAACGTTTAACCTGGTGAGGGATTACCTCGAATTCACTAAAATATACTATCCTAAATAATGTAACCCGAAAACCATTATTTATTTTTTCATCCGCGTTTATTATATTATTATAAATACAAATTTTTGAAGACTTCTGCAACGTATTTGAGTTTTAACACGTCAAACAGAATGAAAAATCATACTTGAAGAAAAATTGAAAAATGGGTTCCGCACTTTATATTATAATGTTATAATATTCACGTGTTCTCTCAAAAACTAAACGTATTCATTTATTGTCATAATTGTCACAAAATGAACATTTAAATTTCATTGTTTTATCGATTTTTGAAAAATAATTGTCTTTAGTTCTACAAAATAAATACGAGTATTAAAACGATATTTATCGCTTTTACGTGTACATAACTTCTATAATTAGGCTTGCCATTTGTCCCCGTTTTAAAGGCATGTACCAGTATTTCATAATCCAATTTATTCCGGTTAATAGAAGCTGAAAAAATATAATTTATTATATTATTTAATAATAAAACATATAACAATATTGTACATTATATCATTATATTATGATTATCTAATCAGCATGGTTATGTACAATAATAACGTATTTTTGTATCCATATGAACGTTACATCAAAAAAATAAAAAAAGGAGGTCATTCAATATGATTTCCCGGTTTAGGGATTTCAAAATCTAGCCAACCTATTTATAATCATTATATTTCAATGTATTTATTACTTACTCGTGGAGTCAACTATTAATGGTTGAAGTAAGGATTGGGAACCGTACAAAAAATAACCGGTTTTGGAGCAGGAACCTCATCGAAACCCTAATTTAAATTAATTTTGAAAATCAGAACCTCCCTGAAACCTTTATTAGAATTTATTTCAAATCCGGAACCCATAATTTTTTGTAAAGGATTTTTTACGGTTAGTTTCGGTTTTTTTATAATTTCATTAATTTTCTATATTTTCATTTATTTATATATCTCATTAGCAGGACTAGAATTTGTATGCAATAAAATATTATAAAATAAATATTTTAATTTTTATAAGATACAAACAAAAATAAAGTTACGAAAAGAAATATTTTTTATTGAAATACATTAGTGATTGGCTTATTGTTTTGATTTAATATAATTGAGATTAGAAATTAAAAATTATTTATTTATATTTCGCATGCTTATTTATTAATTATTATTTTAATAATAAAATGTATAATTCAATATTGGAAATACGTATGTTACATTCTACGACCTCGTATTTTTTTAAACTATCGAATATAAATTATCACTTGCTGTAGTTGGCGCATATTTAAATAAAGGAATTTGCCCTGGTGTTGAATTATTACTGAAATTGTCCTCGTTTGATTCGCCATTTAATACTTTATTCAATAATAGTAGAGTTTTAAATCCTTTAGGATTGTGTGTAATACACTAATAACCAACAAATTATATCTTATTTTGGATTTTATATTGATAAATAGATATTTATATTAATTGTGTTTTTCTCCGTCGAACTATTTAATCTTTTATCGCATATTATTATAATATTATTGCATCATAGGATTATATTCATAAAAATAAAATTGATATGAGAAGAAAAAACCAAATTATAAAAATTCATCAGTTTAATTATTTTGGGCTCAAATACAATAATTACGATCATACTAAATATGCAAAAATACGCATAAAGCTCAATATATGCAAAAACATGCAAAAATTATGTAAATTTATTTCAAATTACAATTTAAAATACAAGATGATAAAATAATTAAAGAATTGACTTTTATTTTTCTGAACCAACTAAAGAGATATTAGCATTAACCAAATTTAATCGTTTTATAATTAAGGTTATAGTTTTTAATTTTTTTTAAATAAATGTTCCGGTACCCTAAAATGTATAAGGTAAACCGGTTCCTGAACCGGTTTACTTTGGCTTCGACGATGATCATTGATCATCATTGATCAGTAATATAGTTACTGTTTCCGTGAAATTATTTTCAAAAAATAACTACCGACTTCTCCAAATTGTGTTGCGTGGCATTAGTTCAACTGTTGTGGTGTTGAATAGAGTGGAGGATGTTTTAAATAATAACTCTACTTTAAATTTAATAACTGTTTATCATAAAATATTTTTAGTTCAAGTATTACTCGTGAAATAATTCTAAGAACAAAAACTTAATTTATTATGTAAACTGGCGTGAAGGTGTTAGCTACGAACGGGTTGAAATATATCTGAATATTAATTTACTCGAAAACACCTTATATACCCCGTTCTTGTATGATACTGTGGTATTTTTGAGAGGTGAACACGCTTTGATGTTATGTTCCATTCCATACTCCAACATAAATATATTAAAAACATATTATATTTTATATTATACATTTTATATTTAATACCCCGGTTCGCTAAAATACTAGCGTTTCTAGATTGATTACCTATTGTATACTTAAATGGTTGATCTCGTGTCTTCTGCAAATCACATAACGAACCTTACCCATGCATCATCGGGTGATTTATATTTGTGTAATATTTGGCTAGAAACAGTAGACGCTGATAACCTTTTGTATTCAATCAACTAGGGACATATGCCCCAAGAGTTTGTCTTGTCTAGGGATTTACGGAGCTTATAAAATATAATATGCACATACCATCGTAAATGTGGAGACTATGTACAAATGGGATAAAATCAACTCCAAATGTAAATGCGGAGCTGATAAACAATCAATCACATATTCGCTTTAATGTAATTTTTAATGTAATTTCCGTTACGTTCACATCAAGGTGAGACAATAATTGTGAATTATTGACAGCATTGTCGTGAAATGACATACGCTAAATAAATAACAAAATAAAATAACAATAAAAAAACTTCGTATTTAAATTGAACATGGTCCAAAAAAAAGAAAAAAAGATATTATTAATAAAATTTTATTTTTTGGCTGACTGAAATGCATCATAGCTGAGTTATACATATAGAATGATACTATTCAGTAGCGTAATTGAAAAAAATATAACCACGTCTACGAAGTACAAGTAAACAATAATTTGAACTTTTGTTTTTTATACTTCTTAAAAACACTGAAGTTATCAGTTGGTAATTTGAGTTGGAGTACTGTTTTCAAAAATCCATTATATTTTCAAATTATATTAGAGGAGGGAGAGATACGAGACCAAACCAAGTAACTATGCAAATAGATAATTCCTTCAGCAGGACAAGATTCGGACGAACGAGATAATATTGTCACAGTTGTGGTTAGGAATGTTATTGGAAAATTGTATATCATGGTGGTTAATTAAAATTATCAAAACTATTGTTTTAGCATATTACAGTAAGGACGAATTATATAATAGTAAAATATACATAAAAATAAAAATACAGGGTTTGCCATAATAAACGGATATATTTGGATCAGCAGCTCTTACTCGTTATTGGACTAATGACCAATAGTGAAACGCAGTTTCAGTGACATCATGGTACTCATAACTTCTGTATAGCAGACATTTTTAATTTCTCACAGATGCTTTCCCATAAACATGGCTATTTATGTTATGTCCCATACGTCATGAACTGCTTTCATTAAAAAACTTGTAAACTAAACAAAAATGCAATGCAAAATATATTTAGTTTTTATTCATTTGAACTAGTCATATATTTTATTAACATATTGTAGATACTACCGAGGAAATACAAGGGACTATTTCAGAATAAACGACTAATTGTTTAGTCATATGATACTATTTTTACTCGCAACTGATAAAATACCACACTAGTTTGTCAACAAGTTAAAACAATTCTATTTTACTCGCAAACTAGTTGCTATTAAAATAGTTTACCCGTTTACTAGCACCATACTTTTTTTTTACTAGCAAACAATGAACTAGCTTACTAGATCCATTGATTATATAATATATAGTCTATTCTATAATCAATGATCCTAGTAAACCAGCACTGTGCAAACCATGTTTTACCACGTATAGTTATTTTGTCTGCGCGTATAGATTGTATTTATATTACAAACAAAGTAAGAAAGAAAAAAATTCAAAAGAATTTGTTTAGTTTTTTTTTTCGCTCATCCATCCGCGTTTCTGGCGCATCTGTGATTTTCAATAATAAACGTGCTGGGAAAAGTAATGATATTCAATGGCATTTTTGTTTGTTTGTTTTTTTTTCCTCCATCCGTCCGCCGGTTCCTAGTATGTAATCGTGCACCATGTGCTCGGACGTGTCCTTCAGGCTGAAGGTGAACTACAGCACGCTGATGGCGCACCTGAACCTGACCCAAGACGAGCTGCAGAACCTGCTGAACATCACATGGTTCGGCGGAGACGACAACGACCGGTCCGACCCGCTGTCCACGAGCTGCTACTGCAGCGGCAGCGTGAAGAGCTATTCACTGTGGTTCCGCGCCGTCCACGGCTACGTCAGCCTGTTCCTGTGCGTGTTTGGCGCGCTGGCCAACGCGCTCAACATCGCCGTGCTAACGCGCAAGGATCTGGCCACGTCGCCCATCAATCGCATACTGTGCGGCCTGGCCGTGGCCGACCTGGTGCTCATGGTCGAGTACATGCCGTTCACGTGCTACATGTACCTGTCCACGGCCAAGAAGGAGGAGTTCTCGCACGTGGGCGCCGTGTACGTGCTGTTTCACACGTATGTGTCCCAGGTGCTGCACACCACGTCCATAGCACTCACGCTCGTTCTGGCCATGTGGAGATACGTCGTGGTCAAGTAAGCGCACCGCTTTTACTCGTTATTTACACGAGAATCGTATACCGTCCGGTGATCAGAATAATATTCCACGTGTCCGCGAACGCGTTCCGAAAAACGTCAAATGGTTTACGTTTGATTTTGAAAAGTTGCCCCTAAAATGGCGTATTAGAATTTAAATATCGTAAATGATTTTAGATATTACTGTTTCGTGAGATTTCACAACACTGCAGTAAATTGTTCTTGTTTTTGCACATTCATAGCGAGAAAACAGTTGAAGAAATTCTAATCACCTACGGTATATGGAACGCGAATGTCGTTCATTTTGCATGTAGCACATTAGAAAAATGACGAAAATTTGACGGAAGCCTGGGTGAATGACCAGGAAAAATTTCCCTCAGTTAGCGGGATGAAAAAAAAGAAAAATTGTTGAAGCGAAATAATTTCTTAGCTAATACTAGGGGAGTTTTCTTTTCTAATTTACAACCAAGGCTTCTGAAAGATAACCTAACCTATCAACGAATATATATATAATGTAAGTAAAATTTGTAAACATTTATTTATTCAATTTCTATTACATCAAGATACCTTTTCGGTAAATGTTACGAGAAATATAAGGTTTAAATAATATATGCGTATACGCTTACGTCTACGGAATCGTTAAAGATTTCCTTTTTATTATAGCCCGATGGGCATTACCAATCGATCGGTACAGTATATAACTATACTTTAGTTCCCATATTGTTCTATTTCATTGACAATGTTGTAAACTAAATAGGAAATATTAAATTTATTTGTTTGAACTTGTTGATTGTATACTCAGAATGTTATATCTTGAAGTATGAAAAAAAAAGTAATAATCCTATAAAATCGGTATTATTTTAATAAAATAAATATAAAAAAAGTAATATTAAATTTATTAGCTTTCATGAATCTAGAACAGAATAAGTAAATTTTTTCAACACGTAAATATTTTGTCTTGCAGTATTAGATTTTGATAAGAAATTTCTATTACTGTAGTTATTTTTAAAGTTTAATTTTACTTTTCTCAGACATTAGCGTATATATTTTAGATTCAGAGTGAAATGAAGATTAGTTTTAGTATAATATGCTTTTTTGTGTGTCTTTGTACACGATTTTGATCTGAAGAGTTGCTTCAACCATCACTAATCAAGAAGTGAAAAATAGGAAATTAATTTTAATTAGTATACAGGATAAAAGAGATTAATTTCACGAATTATCCAATAGTTGTCTCAATAATTGTAAAAAAACTAATAAAAAATTTATAAAAAAAAACGAAAAAATTTGAAATGTTCATCGAATGTTTTTATCACGGTTTGATTTTAAAATTATACTTTTGAGATACGAGTATTTATAAAAAATGTATATTTCCATGATTATTCAACTTTTTATCGAAAATAACAAAACAACAATTGTGGAAGAAAATAACATGAAATCATGAGAATTTAACTCAAAATTTCTTATCTATGTATATAAACCCTGAATAAATATAGCAATTTAGGGAACACTGAATTTATTGACTGGGTTACATTGGAATAAATCAGACTTTTTTTTTTTTTTTGAAGTTAGTGGTATATAAATACACATTTATAGATTAATTTCAAAACTTTCATTATTTCGGTTTGCAAATGGACAGTACAATATGTGTTTTTTAAATAGCAACACCTATATTGAATACTATACCTATTCATGTTGTCCATTTTTTTTAAATCATTTTGATGTATCAACAATGGTTCTAAACTCAAAATTGACTGAATAAGAGTTATTTCAATTTTAAAAAATAATACATTTTTACGATTCATTGAAATGCATAAAACCATTTATAATTATTTATTAATAATTCCTTTTTGAATATTTTTAGCTATTTCTTTTTATACTTGTAATGAACAAGATTAACATAACATGGGTATAAATTAATTTATTAAAAATCGATTACAACAGATTAATCGAAAATCGTGGATTTAATTGGATGTAAATGAAAACTTGAAGATCCACAACTTCATTAATATTATTTACTCTAGGTTTTTAGTTACAAACTACTTTTACAGAAATGCTCGATGGTTAATTAATCATTTTTATTTTTAATAAAAAGTGCTGGAAGGTATTGACTTGGGTATTTTAAGCATACATTTCTGCTGACTGAAGAATAATTTTTATTTCATCTACCATTAGTTAAAAGTAATTTGACTCTTTCTTGGTTGCTCATTTTCATTTAACATAACTAACTGTGTTTGGACAACTAGACTAAAAAGATCCACTTAATCCAAATTTTTAATTATAAATTTAATAATCAAAATTAAATAATCTGAATAATTATGCCAATTAAAATTACCTTATTACTTAAGCCCTCGATAATTTTATGTTTTTTAAATAAATGATGAAAACGATTTTTAATAAATAATTTTGTACCCAAATTATGCTAATATTATTAATAATACGTATATAAAAAATAACTCAAACTATACGAAAATGAACCAATATAAATAATTATAAATAGTTGTATGCATTTTAATGAATCATGAATAAATATTATTTTTTTTAAATTGAAATGGCTTTCTCGTATTCAATAAATTTTGAATTTAGAACCATAGTTGATACATCAAAGCTATTAAAAAAAAATAGATCTACCCGAATATAATGTTTAAAATAGATGTTGCTATTTTAAAAACATAAAGTGTACTGCACATGCACATACTTAAATGATAATATTTTGAAATGTTTATAAATGTATATTTATAGTTTATAAGAAAAAAAAACGATTTTTTTTTCATTGTAATTCGGTCGAGTAATTCAATTTCTTCTAAATTGATATACATACACATGGTGTATATTATTGATTAAAGAAAAAAATTATAAGTGTTTGAATATTTGATTTTCACAAAACGATAACATAAAACAACTAAATTTTTATAGTAAAAAATTTACAACATTTTTAGCTTTTATTCTTAAAGCTTGGAAATTAGTAAGAAGATTTTTAAAATATGTTCTTTGTAGTCAAAAACAAACAATAATTATTGAGAAGCCATACAAATTATTTAAACGTTACAAAATAAAGTTTTGACGAAATCGGATATTTCAATAAATTTCCATTGAACGATGTTAGTTATGTAAAATGTATGTAAAGTTATGTTAAATAGATTCAAAATTATATTCTATAACTAAATGTGTTATACTAAAACATAGTTTTAAAAAGTTTTAATGAAATTTATACTATTTATAAGCACTTTTTTTTTCTTTTTAATTTGCCTTTGTCGTAAATATTACAAAAATATAGACACTTAAAATGTTTGATAATTCTAAATTTTAAATTTTCTTGTTTTTTGTTGCAATACCAATGATTATTTTTTTTTAATTATGTTCGAACAATGAAAAATATCATTCAATTTATCTTTTATATGAATATTCGTAAAACTTTGTATATACTGTAATGACCAATTTTTCAATACACATTTTAATTTAGAATACGTTACAGTTGTACAATTGTATAATGACATTGGATATTTGAAAACGTTATGTCACTTAAAAAAAAATTTAATTTTATTTATATAAAATAAAACCAAACGAGAACCTATAACAATGTTATAAAACAGGGGGTTTTTTTTTTTAATTTCTTTAAAGGGCAGTAAAATTGTATCAATAATGAAGTATAGTCCTTTTGTAATTTCTTAGTTAGTAATTAGTAAAAAAAAAAAACTTTTTTTTCAAATAAAATAAAAAATAATACAAAATGGCAAAGAAGTGTATATAAGAACACGACCTAACCTTTGGATATCATTTTAGAGTCAAAATTGAGTTACACATAAATCCGTTTTTAAATTGAATTATTTTTTAATGCCATAAAGTTAAAAATAATACTCATACAATCATATTTAATTTTGGTTTTATGCCAAGATGATCATTGTAAGTTAAGAACTAATCAGTTATCTTGGAATTCTTACTAATGGAAAGATTATGGTAACTTATCTCTCCAAAATGACATTTTTTTTAAACTGAAATAGTTAAACATAATATAATTATTGATTTACAAAATATAGTCTATGTAATGAAAATGTATTACTCAAAATATTTTGCGTTTCAAATTTAACACCCGCATAAAGATACTATATATACAGTGGTAAAATCTTTAATTTTCATTGGAAATATCATTAATAATTCCAACTTCGTTGCATTGAAAACCCTTTAAATAGTAAATTATTTGTTTCCCAACAATCTTATCTCAAATCAATTTTTTTGTTATGTGAAATAGCCGAAGAAGATAAGAAAAATCCACAATTAATTTCATATTTCTTTATTTGATAATATAATAATTATGATGCGTTCTACATTATACGATTTGCATTTTTAATGATTCGCGATAGTTTACCCAATTACTTTGATATTGTAATAAAATGAACGTAAAATACATTATATTTTAAAATTATTACCTGGAAGACTCATATAATGTATTTGTTTTACCATTAATGTAATATATTTTGTGTCCCCTTTGAACCATCCAAAACACAGTTTTTACATTTCGATAGTCAATTAATCCAATAAAATAACTTTTAGGACTCTGATAGTGGTTATTTTTACTACCGTTGTTGACATGTTATTGTTATGTCTTATTGTTATTGATAAATAAACGATGTGAACAAGAAGACAGTAATGGGAATCCATATTTCCCTCACTGTCCACGATTCAAACGGGGAAATAAAGAAAAAAAAGTACTCTGATACTGGGAGAAAGAAACGTAGGTATGCATTTTTGTATGAATTCGTCGATTGAGCCCTGTACATTTTAAATTAAGAAACATTTTAGTGTTTCAATGTTTTAATCGCCACTAATTACAGGTGTTATACGTAATATATGTATAACTAACAAATCATAAAAAACATAAAAAATACTTAATATGAATATAATTTACTTTTAATTTTATAACACATTATTTTATATTCGTTACGTTTATTTATAAAACCATGTACTATATAATCGTGATGAACAAACTACATCCTTGGTTACAT